GCTCTTCTGGCTGGACCATCAAGCACAATCAAACCTCTACAAATGATTCAGAATGCAGTGGCATGACTGGTCTTTAACGAGCCCATGTTACACCTCTCTTTATCTCCTTGCACTGGCTACCGGTTGAGGCTCGCATCAAGTTCAATACATTGATGCTTGCATATAGAACAGCCACAAGCTCAGCACCCGCCTACTTCCACTCACTACTACGAATCTACATCCCCTCCAGAAGTCTGAGATCCGCTAGTGAGCGACGCCTCGTGGTACCATCACAGAGAGTCTCAAAATCACTTTCCAGAACATTCTCGTTCACCATTCCTGGCTGGTGGAATGATCTTCCCACCCCTATCCGGAATGCTGAATCCCTGACAATTTTCAAGCGACAGCTGAAAACTCGTCTCTTTCGACACTACTTTACTTCATCCTAAAAAAAAAAAAACTTTGTCTTTCTCTTCATTTATTCCTTCCCTGTCTAGCTTGTATTTATCTGAACAATGCCTAAAACTTGGTATCACAAACACTTCCTGTGTCAGACTGCCTCTTTAAGAAGAATCGCTTTATGCATTCCCCAACTGTAAGTCGCTTTGGATAAAAGCATCTGCAAAATGACTAAACGTAAACGTAAAAACAGTTACTAAAATAATCAGAATTTCTTACTGTTCAGTTATTATTACATCATGTCTCCCTTGAAACAAACCAATAACTGTTACTATGTTATGCTGTACTTTAAGCCTGTGAGACTTAAATCAATGTAAAAACCCAAATATAGCACACTGTTTTTGAAACCTAAATGCCAACCTAGGCTCATTGGGAAAATGTTCCTCTGTCTACATTTTTGTAAAACTCAAAAGATTACCTATACATACAATTCACTGCAGCTTCCAAATGAAATAAACACTAGTGGTAGTACAACACAAACAACTTTCACACAAATGTTAATTACAGGGGCAGATTATTTATTAATAAAGACTTATTTTGCGTGGTTCTTTGCACAGTACTATGTTATGATCTTTAAACACTTTTACCATAGTGCATGATTTGTTAACTGATACATTTTGACGTTGGCATTACATAACCAGCTCCATATGTACAGCTTTTCTGATGCAGTAAACTTGCTCGGTAGCTCACCTGGTACAGCACTGAGATAAAAGAGATAAACTTGTAGAAACAAGCTGAAATGGCATGGTTGCTTCAGCAAATGTGGTGTTCTCATGTTTGCTTTTGCTAACACTATCAGCTAAGTTTAATGTAGGTGGTATATTATCTTCATCAACATAGACAATTTAACTTTTACCGCCACTCACTAGACATTTTATTTTTGAACTTCCATAATACGTACAACAACCAATGTAATAAAACCTTTACACAGTCATGTTCATCCGTTTCAGATAAAATTGAACATGCTTTAAGTGCCACTCACTTGACATTTCACTTCGAAAGTGTCACAAAACATGCAAGAAGCAACATAATATAATTTTGCAGAAATTTAGCATCTCATCAGTTTCCTTAGTGTTGCCACCTTGTGTACTAACTAATTAGCAGAAAAAATCAAGGTGCATTTGCTAGCTGAGTGTAGAGAGTATACACGGTTAGAAAAATCAGGCTGTGCACATACTATGCTATAAAACGGAGTATACTTTGGGCAGTTAGAAGGGAGCTGCCTATGTAGGCTGCATACAGTACAGCAAGGCAGCTCGCTAGGTTTTGGCACAGCGTGTGAGTGTGTTGCTGCAGTCATGCAGATCATTTGTAAATCTGTAAGCACACATGCAGCTGAGGGGCTGTTAACGTAGGCTTACAGATAGCCTCAGTATGACCTTTCTTAAGGCAGGACCTCTGTGATGGATTGCTTCTGAAACCTTTGACCTCTGTGGTATAATATCTGGCCATAGGCATCTGTCTGAAGGTATCTGGTGGTATGCAGTCATTTCTTCACTCATTGGGTGGTGCTGTGTTCCAGAGCTTTAAAAAAAACCCTATGAAATTATTTTTGCTTGCTTTTCAAGTTCACAAAAATTTCTTCTGCAGAGTCGGCACTGTAAACGTTGACAACACTTTAAATAATCATTTATAATGGGCTGATATGGATAACAAAGAGTGCACGGCATGTTTTACTTTGCACTTACCTTGAAATATTAAACACCAAAGGCAATTAACACACAACTTATTTCAGCCATTTTCTGCAAGCCAACAATGAATTTTACGACTGTTGTTTGATATTCTCTACAGCTTACATTGCCCCGGTGGAGCTTGATGTACACGCTATAGGTTTACTATGGCCTTTGGCAACTTTGGCTAATGTGGGTTTTTGAATGGTGGACATTTAAAAGGAATATCAGTGAATGATTTAAAGTGTTCCTTTCAGTGCTGACAGTAATATTTAGCCATCATTGAATCCTCATAAAAAGCAGTGAATGCCAGCAGGCCAGATGGTGTCTGTTATTTTATGAATACATTTTACAGTACCTTAGACAAGGAGGTTGTGGAGCCAGGGGAGGGTGAGAGAATGGATGAGAACAAGTAAGAGATTGCGCTCGTTCTTAGAGAATTCCTCCCACAGTCTTTCATACTTCAGTAACAGTAGACTGGCAACTATCACTTCCACCTGGCGCCACTCTACTGCAGTATGTTTGCGCAGTATTTTGCAGCTTAAGTGGATTGTGCTGGCTCTTCTGGTCTTAGGGAGTGGTCTTTTTTGGCTTGAGTCTTAAGTTGGCTCTGTGTGCTCAAGCCACTTTGTCTGATTGCACAAGTTCGCTTGGAAAGCCTTGACTGACTTTACACATACTGGTCTGTCCACATATCCATCACTACCACTAAAGCACTGGCCTAAAATCTGCTCCACTCACTTAAATCATTAAAGTAGCAGATTAGGCCATTTTCTGTTCTCCACCAGGCTTCCTGGAGTTGCTCATAACTGTTGGTCTTCTGTTCTTCCTGCTGATGATACAGAGGGCGACCTTTCCAACCTGCTGCAGTGTTATGGAACACACTGAAATTATGTCAAGAAATATTTTCTTGACTTTATACAGTGTAAAATGCTGTTTGTATTTAAATGACTGTTTGTTGGAATGATTATGTTTGCATTGAGTGCAGTGATTGTTCTTTTTGAATTGCACTTCTATGTAAACCGGCTTTTTTACTGCAGCTGGTACTTTTCTAAATTCTTTATTTATTTAAGGTTGAAATGACTTAAAAAACCTGTGGAAACCAATTACCTCAAACTTTGCAAGCAAAGTAGTTCATCACATTTGTGCTGTAGCTTACTACAACTTTGTATAACGATTATAGGTTATGATTATAGATTTTATTTGACATAAAACTGAATGGTAGTCCAAAAAGCTGATAGAGCTTGAATGGCCTTAGGGAGGACATTTTCTTTTTTTGGTTAACTATTAATTTAAGTATTGGTTACTCAATTTCATTAATTAAGATAAGATTAATATAACACAGTACACATAACTTAACAAAACTGTTTAAAACCTGTAAAAGACAAGTTATTTTTGGGGCAACACTAGACCGTTTATATGTTTCCTAAAATATATTTGTTCCATAAAACTTAAAGATAAATAAATAAGAACTTTGAGTTTTTATTACTTTTAAAGTGTGTTGTCAAATCAAAAAAACTTTTAAAAACAGTAAAGTAAAACTGCAATAAAAGAGTGCATATGATGCCAACCCAGGAAATCAAATTAAAGTCTTCTGTCCCTTAGGCTGTAAAGAAGCAGTTTTGTAATATTCAGGTTTAAGATTTGGCTGGCCACACCATAAATATAGCACGGTGTTCAAGTGAAATGCAAGACATTAAATAAGTTGTTAATAAGTTTGTTTTGGTTAATGTCTTAAAGTCAAAACATAATTTTCTCTTCAGTTTTGTACTATTGTTTCTATTGCTATGATCTCAGTGGCGTCTTGGGTGAAAGCCATACCATCTTAGGTTTTTGGTCACAACTGTTCACTGGGTGTTTTCAGCATTAATTAAGTCATATTCTGACATCCTCATTAATAAACAAGACTGAAATGTTGTCATGTAATCCTTTATGCTAATGTCTGAAATGTTGTCAATATTCAGGCTGACTTTGTCATATATCCAAAATAACCTTTCATGTTGGCTACAACTCAATTAGCATATTATCCTAAACAGTATTAAATGAAGAATAATGCTTGCCAAATAATAGTATGTGGAATGTAGTATAACATTTTGATAATAATAATTTAGCTTGATGCATGACATGCAAACAAACACAGTGTGATAAGATGGTCAATGCTACAGGTGGTATAGTATTGACCAGTATATGTACTACACACAATAAAGTATGCAGTGCTTTCCCATCACCTGCAACATGCTTTTGTATATTTATATACTTTTAGTCTGTAGAATGCAAATTGGGCCTTAATTTTCTCTTCTTTCATTTGCGTTAATGAGCTTTTTAATGTTATTTAATTGCCACTTGTGTGGCAAGTTCCCTGTCCTGTCCTCAACCATGCTCACCTCTTTTTGCTCAAGAGCACACTCCATCTCTCCATTGATTTCTCTTTCTTTCTTTTTCTTTTTACTCTGCCTCAACGTTTGAGGAGAGAGAAGGGACATTATTAGCTCTTTTTTTATGCAGTTTTTCTCACAATGAGAGACTGAATTCAGAATGACACAGAAAGCAGTTTTCATTTGAGTACCCTCTTGCAATGTCTTCCCCCACTCTCGTACCTCTAATTAGATTCAGGGAAAATGAACCCTAATTAAAATTTGAGCTCTCTGGCTGAGAGGCGTTGTGAAGCATGTGTTTTTTTTTCTTTTTTTTCCCAGCACAGACCTTTTGTTTTAATACAATCAACAGACTAGGTAGCAGATTGCCTCGGCACAAAAACATATTTTATTAGGCTTGCAATTAAAATGGGTTTGATTTCCTTCCTACTGCATCTCCTGTTCTCTACCTCTGCTCTATCTGCTCCTGTCATCCAGTGTTTCTTCGCTCTGTTTCTTTGTCTCCTGTACATTAACGATGGGAGTTGGGCCAATATCCTGTGAGGAAATGAAATCTAGGCAGAGCCAACGATGACTATCAGGAGCGGTTTTACCATTTGAGAGAATATGAGTGTCATCTTTAGATCTGTAGAGGTTTGGACCAGATTTATTGAAGGGGTAAATGTCAGATTTACATAGTAATGCCATGGCAGTCTGTGTTGACTAAGAAAGTGTGTGATGGCTTTTGAATCTCTTTATCTGATGCTAGTCAGTTCAGTTTGGACTATGGGCACCTGAAGACTGACATGATCAGTAAGATTTTAAAGAAATTTTTACTTCTATTCAGCAAGAGGACATTTATAATGTTACAAAATATTTCTAATCAAAGAACCCTGAAAAAAATTAATCATGGTTTCCAAATAAATATTAAGCAGCACAACTGTTTTCAGCATTAATAATAATAAGAAATGTTTCTTGAGCACCAAATCAGCATATTACACACATTTCTGGCTGCTAAAAATTCAGCTTTGCCATCACAGGAATAAATTCCATTAAAAGAATGTGATTTTAAATTGTAATAGTATTTTACATTGTTGTTTTTATATGCAATATAAAATCAATTTGCTAAGCATAAGAGCATAATTTTCTTTCAAAAACTTTTTAATATTTTACCTACAGTTAATTTTTGGATGGTAGTTTTAGTGTGTATGTATTTCTTTTTTGTTGTAGTGACAGAGTAAAAATGGGGTGAAATGTAAAATGTTCTTTTGACATCAGCAGCTCTGAATATCTAAGACAAGTTCTTCAATATTCAGTGGTTTATTTTTCTTGTTTGCAGCCATAAAGACATCTTTGTTCACTATCACTAGATAGAACTGCAATATGTTGTTGTGTTGGGGTATCTATGTGATGTAGTGCTGTGCTTGAGCGCATGTAATGTGTGGCGTTAATCTCTGGTGCTGTCGTTAGTGGTGCTGTAGGGAGGCTGTGAGATGTGACAGTTCTTTCTCTCTGTTTCTCACTTCTTCGCGTGATCTGTATATTGTTGTTTTCTTATATAAGAATCACATATTACAAAACATCTGTGCACAAGGGGTTGTTAACAGTGTGTATATATACTGTATGTTTTCTTGACACATCTGACTGCATATGTATTGTGTATATGCACATTAATGCATTTACTAGGAAAAAGCTTGTAGAATGTAAAGAGAGTCTTTGGTTTTCTCTCCTTGCTGATTAACTGACCATGAGAGCAGCTAATTACTAAATTAAAGAGTGTGTAACGAGCTGAGAGTGTGTCCGATCTGGCAGCCCGGGAGAAACATATGCTAAAGAGCTCATGTAACCTGGACAAACACCTACAACTCAAAACAGACAGAAGTCTGTGTCAGTAAAAAGGTTTGGTTTACATAGAGTATGGTGTACACTGCTGCTATGGCTTTCACTCCTGATGATTACAATATTTCTGCACTGATATTATTATTCTGGCTGATATAGATAAGCTGTATTGTCTAAAAAAAAAATCAGTTAATTTAAATCCTACAAGTGTGTTTAGACATTAGAACATTATAATGTACAGTATAAAATTGTCATTTTAATGTTGTTATTAAATTCTTAGTTTTTTTTAGAGATTAAAGTGGTGTTAGATGATGGCAAAGGTAATCACAATATTTGCTTTTTTATAATTAATACTTTTATTCAGCAAGGATGCATTACATTCATCAAAAGTGACAGTAAAAACATTTATAATGTTACAAAAATTTTTTTTTTAATATATAATTTGAACTTTTTATTCATCAAAAAATTATGAGAAAATTATATCACGGTTTCCACCAATGGCTGCTGAAAATTCAACGTTGCCACCACAGGAATAAATTATATTTTAAAATATAAAACACTTGTTTTAAATTGTAAATTAAGTTGATGTTGAGGTAACGTTTTATAATGGTATTATAATGCTCTCTGTTGATCCAATAGCATGCTATTTTCAATTCTGCTTTTCTTTTACTTTATTTGCGTGTGTGCTTTGCAGCATGTGATGAGTGGACAGTTCTTCTGAATCTCAATCTTCATCGTGATGTCAACCGTTTTGGACACACAGCAGTTGTCAGCAATGGGTAAGTTCTTAATGTGGTCTCTTTCCATGTGTTGATACCATCAGTATATGTACTCTTCCTGTACCCAGGTTACTTTTTTCCACTGAAATTCATTTAGTTAAGCAACTCATCTTGTGTCGGAAAAAAAAAATTCACTTGAATTTGTGGCCTTATCCTCTCATTTCCTTTGGAAAGATGTTTTGGCTAGACAAACAGTTTAAAATACAAACAGAAAAGGTCTGTGTTTTCTCTTCCCCTCAGCTCAATGTACGTTTTTGGTGGTTTCTCTGGTGTGATCCTGAACGATGTGCTTGTGTATAAGCCTGCCAACTGTGAGGCCTTCCTCGAGGTGGGTCTTTGTCAGAGCTCTGGTCCTGGTGTTCGCTGTGTCTGGATTGAGGAACGCTGTGTACCTTGGGACTCCAGCCATGCTAATGACAGTGTGCCTGCCTCTTTCTGTCCTGCACGCACCTGTAAGAACTTATCATTTTAAAAGCTTATGTTAAAACCCCGGCTACACAGAATTACTTTTATGGTCAATTATGGAGGTATTGTGACCTGTTTTAGAGGCATGTTTCATCATACAGTCACACAAAATGTATTTCTAATTCGAAGGAGTCAGTGAAAGTGGGTCTTGCTTCACCCTGAAGGGGTTTATTTTGTGGTTGACTAAATTATTCCACCTACTACAAGGCTATTTAACATAAATATATGTATAAATGGATATGTAATATTGATCTGAGTAGCACAGCATTGTAAGAAACCAGTTACCTAGAATGGCAGGACTAAAGTTAAGCAGTTTAGTCTTTATACAGTGGTGTGAAAAAGTGTTGGCCCCCTTCCTGATTTCTTATTTTTTGCATGTCACACTTTAATGTTTCAGATCATCAAACAAATTGAAATATTAGTCAAAGAGAACACAATTGAACACAACATGCAGTTGTTGTGTTTCCAACAAGGGAAAACAAAATCCAAAACTACATGTCCCTGTGTGAAGAAGTGTTTGCCCCCCTGTTAAAACTGTGGTTTATCACACCTGAGTTCAATTTATCTAGCCACACCCAGGCCTGATTACTGCCACACCTGTTCGCAATCAAGAAATCTCTTAAATAGGACCTGCCTGACAAAGTGAGGTAGACCTAAAGATCCTCAAAAGCTAGACATCATGCCGAGATCCAAAGAAATTCAGAAACAAATGAGAAAGAAAGTAATTGAGATCTATCAGTCTGGAAAAGGTTATAAAGCCATTTCTAAAGCTTTGGGACTCCAGCGAACCACAGTGAGAGCCATTATTCACAAATGGCAAAAACATGGAACAGTGGAGAACCTTCCCAGGAGTGGCCGGCTGACCAAAATTACCCCA